AGGCGCGTACCGGGACTTTCGCTATTGTGCGCAGCCCCGGAGCGGCGCGGCGTGGCTGGAGGACAGAGAACTTCTGGGGTCCCACAGACTAAAAAGCATTGCTTTGTCAGCCTCTTTTCCAACTGTTCAGAGGGCTTGCGGGGGACTGGGATGTGCAGGAGGGTCGGGACTCGGCAGGTTGCAGGCTTGAAGATCCCGTGCGCGGCTTTCTCCAGCGTCTAGGGGCTGCGGGCCCGCGGGAGCCTGGAGCGCCGCGGCCGCCCCCTCGGTGCCCTCCCCACACTCCATGGCCCAAGGCTCGCGCCCTCCCGACAAAGAACGCGTGCGCAGCCGACTGCCTTGCCCGGTGCTCCTGCGGATCTTTAAATGCCTGCGGAGCTGCAGCCGCAGGAGCGGGCGGGGAAGGGAGCCGGGTGATCTCAGGTCCCCGCGGGACCGGGAAATGCGCTTCGCCCGTGGAGTTTTAGAAGGAAAGTCCCCGAGACTGCACGGTAGCTAGGGTCGCTTCCCCGCCAAGAGCCCTGTTCCCCTTTGGCTCCTGGATCCCGCGCTTTAGAGCGGCAGAAGTTTATCGTCCTCCAGGGCAAATGGCTGGAAGCTGGGAGGGGACGATCGGGGGGCACCCAGGATCCCGCGGAGTGGAGGGTTTTGTCTACGGATGCAACCAATTAAACACGCAGTCGGCTATTGCAGAGCTGTGCGCAGCGCCCTGCACCGGGCGGGGCGGGGGGGTCCGCAGCAATTTCCAAATCTAAGGATGCGACTATTGGGAACAGTTAAACTCAGCTTCTTAGCCTTTAAATTTTTTTCTCTTTTCTCTTTTTGCCTTAAATCTCTTCCCTCGGGCAAAAAGAAGGGTTAGAAAATAACCCTAAAGTCCCATTTGGCCCCCGGGCGCTGGTTAGGAAATCGAAAAATGATTGCCAGTGTGTTTTAGAAAAAAAAAAAAAAAGCCAGGGGTGTACCTTTTTGAAATCTTCAAAGGAAACAAGCCAATCTAGAGGCCTCCGAGTTTTCCCGCTCTGCCCTTGGCGACACTTCACTGTGCCTTTGGACTCTGTTTTACACCTCCCAGGAAGTCCCCGCTCTACCTTCTTGCTTCCCACCATCTACCCAGCTTTTTGGAATTCTACTAATCGCACCTCCCCCCAGTTTAAAAAAAAAAAGTCTAAAAGAAAACGCAAGGGGATCCGGAGGTGACTGGGAGTTTTTACCTTTGAGTAAAGGCCGAGCTCACAAAGAAAAATGTGTTTCCGATGTGTTTGCTCTAAGTGCCCACTGGCGCGAGTATCTAATGGACGCTTCCAAGAAACCTTCCCCCACGCTAAGTAGAATGCGAGCTTCCATTGAGAAGTTCCGTGAATTGTAATTAGTCTCATTTAAGCACGCAATATGAATGAAATGAGAGTAGATGATTCACCGGAGAGATGTTCGGCATCCCCGGAGTATCAATCATCACATTTTCTTAACTGCTTGAGTATTGGCTATTTAGCCTAGCACCCAATAAAGGAAAGCGGTGATGTACCTGGTGACCTGGCCAGTTCAATTTCTCCTTCCAGGTACATTCCTCACCCATCTCCCCCCTTTTATTTCCACTGCACCCCACGAAACTTTTTTCTTTTTCTTTCTTTCTTTCTTTCTTTCTTTCTTTCTTTCTTTCTTTCTTTCTTTCTACCCTCTAACGCAACATGTTTATTTTTTAAAAAAGATATTTAAATTTCGACTGGAGACTATGCCTGCCTCTCAAAAGGAAGTGGAGAATTGAAGCAATTATCTAGTTAATTCAAGCAAAACCTCCCACCTCAGATCTACCATAATTATTGGGAAATTTTAGGGGGTATGGAATTATTCCGAGCTGAAGAGTTTGGATAATCGCTCCAATACTGCACTCGGAATGTGTGAGTTCAATTCTAAAGCACCTGAAACAGGTATAGAGAAGTGATTGGAAGCCATCCCTTCCGTGTATCCAGCTATCTTTCCAGCTCTCTATGACGTTGGGTTCTGTTGTTTGAAATCCCAGTAGAATGGTAGTGGTAGTCCTATAAAATGTTTATTATTTCTGTGAGTTGCCAAGTGCACAGCCATGTAAACTTTGTACCTTGCAAACATGGGACTTTCTAGAAAATTGCAACTCCTCCAGGTTTCGCTATTATTTTGATTTCAAAATATAATCTCGTTTTCACATGCAAAGTAGTTTTCTCCTTGAGCACATGAGACTATGGTTATGTCCCTCCCACCCTCCACTTGTGCAAACGCTGTGCCACCATCATCCAACTATGCATGAACTGAATGACTTCCAGCAGGTTTGTTAAGCGGCCCAGGCAGAAAACACAGGCAGAGCCAGGGTCATTCTCTTTCTGCCGGTCTAGCCACAACAGCTTTTCTTTCCTCCCTCCAATTAGGAGCCAACCTGTGAGCCCTCTCCCAAGAGACCCAGGGGAAGACCCAAAGGCAGCAAGAACAAGAGTCCTTCTAAAGCAGCCCAGAAGGTGAGAATTTTCTAGTGAAGTTCTTGTAATGTTACCAATGACCTCCCTGCAATTCTCCCGTTCTATACCCACATTCCAGGACTGGTCCAGATGAGCTGAATAACCTAAGACATCACTCCTGCTAGATGGGTCCTAACCTTTTTTCTTCTTTTTTTTTTTTTATTTTCTTTTCCATGTTGACGCTTACTTTAAAAGTTTCCAGGAGATACAGTGATTTCAGACAAACAAAAAAGCCATGAAAGAATATAAATCTTAAGGGGGGGGAGGGTGAGAGGGGCTGTGGAGGAAGGGCTGGGTGGGACAGGGATGGAAATGATATCATTAATATTTATATCCGTGGTAAACTGGTTCATAATAAATCAAAGTTAGATATTTTGACTGGTGATGAGATGACTGTAATTTCCTCTGGAAAAAATATAATTGAGATTAATTTATTCAGGACTTGTTTGCATGTTGACTAGAAGTCAAGTCTCCCTGTTAGAGTTAAGTGCTTTGTCACATAGATGGTAATTAAAAAAGGAAATCCAATTATGGGTTACTGAAAAAAAAAGTTTCATGAATTATACAGCTTTAAATGTGATAAAGTATACTGTCTGGACAAACCTGCAAGATAATATTGTCCTAATCGAAAGAAGGTTTCCCCACCAATGTTATGCTTTCAAACAATGAGAAGTTTTAAAAACAAATGATTGTCTTATTTCATAGTGTGTGTGTGTGTGTGTGTGTGTGTGTGGTGTGATAGAATCCAATTAAGTTCAACATTCACTTTTTTAAAAACAGATTTTAATTTGAACCTTTAAAATAATTTCATGTTGGTTGTGTGTGGTAGCAAAGAGGAGGTACCCCACAGTAAATACCTGTATAGAGAAGCAATGAAGAATATATGCCACTTTTTGGTCTTATACATAAAATTGGAAATAGTTTGCATCTTATTTGTAAATGTGTCTTGTAGTTGAAACTAATAGTTCAAACATTAGAAATACATCCTCATTCAATAGATTTAAATATACAGCATTTGTTTAAAATGACTCTTTGTTCATCTTTAGGGGATTAGTATTCTGTTTTTGTTTTTTTGTTTTGTTTTGTTTTTTTGTTTTTTGTTTTTTGTTTTTTTTTTTTCTGTGGAGTGTAGCCACTAACCACATTATATGTAATGGTTCTCAGTGGTGTATCCTGTCATAGCAACTAGTGATGTATAAAAGCCACGTAGGAAGTCATTAGGACTTCTGGCTGTTTTATTTTAAAAGTTTTGAACAGAGTTGAAAGAGCAGATTTCTCTTACTTTTGAATTAACTGCATTTTAAAGTTCAGGTTTGCAGTAAGTATTTAACCAGTTAACACTCAAGTGTTCCTGAATAACCTTGTTATTTAAGTAATAATACCAAGCTGGTGTTCTTACTATGAGTGCTTTCTCTGCCTTTTGTTTATAAATGAACTAAAATGGACTTAAAAACAAAACAAACTAACAACCAGCATTATTCTGTGTTGTATGCCTGTGATACTTTTGCTCTCAGGGGCAGCATAGGAATGTCTTGGTAGGCATCAGCAGATATGTAAAATATGTAAAAGATGCCTCATCATAATATTATTTAAGGACTCTTTAAAGCTCACCATAAATAAATGCTTTGAAAGATAATGTAAAAAGGAAGGTGTTTGTTACTGTGTGACACTTTCACTTGAATGAATAGGTAGAAATTGTTCCATCATGGTCTTTATACTTTACAAAGTATTTCATACGAAATTCATCATGGACTGAGAGTATCTTAATGGACAAAAGGAAAGTTAAGACTTGTGTCTGATTTAACATATAAAGCAAGAACAAAACAAAAAAAAAGCTTTTCCATTTCCAAGTATGTTTGGTTCTAGCCATAGGAATCTACAGATGGTCCTACTAGGCTGCCCTCTTCCTGTAATTCTTGTATATACACATACTTGTGTAATTACTAAAATACAAATACCCACCCCCAAGATTTTTTCTGAACTCTTTCTTTCTGCAAGGTATATTATTTCATACAATTCTATTACAAATGTTCCCTTTTTAATAAAAGCAAATAAATACATTAGCTTAGAACATGACTATTATTTCTCTCCAGTTTTATAAACTGTGCTTCCCTTAGAGACCATGATGGTGGGGACACATGGATAAGTCATTCCTGGAATGGGTAAAAATGAAAGAGTTTCACTTTCAAATCAGTTTTTATGGAGGGTATTCCTATGCCTTTATACACACTTAGGCTATTAATTGTGTATTGTCTTCTTATAAGGCTTATGCTCATTATGGTTTTGAACTGAAAATCTTTTTAGAAAGAGTTATGTAGTTTAAAACATGCAAGAGGAAATGGAAAATCTTCTATATGATTAATGAAGTGAATATTTTTCTACACTCTGGGAATACACACACACACACACACACACACACACACACACACACACACACCCCACAGAGCTGGTAAGTACTTGAGAGAAACAAATTCTCAAATAAGTGGAGATGCAATGTACATTGGAGTCTTGATGGTGCTGTTTAAATTTTCTTGCTGCTTTGAGCTTTTTTTTTTTTTTTCTAAGTTTATACTTGGACTGAGCAACTGGCCTTGGGGCATTTGAAAACAAAACTGCTTATTAGAAAATTAACAGTGAGAAACTTGACAATCCATGCAGAATGTTGCAAGACCAGGTGGATGAACAACTATTAAGTTAGCTACCCTTTTAATTTCAATAGAAAGTTGATTTGTGTGATATGCACAAGAAACAAATTTCTAAAGAGGCAATTTGTCATGTTTAGAACTTATGGAAGAGAAGTTAATTATCCCTCCTACAAAACTAATTTCATGGATAACCCTGTGTGTCCATGATAATCTTTACTGGGAACTCTTCCAGTCTGAATGTAGCCTTAATAAAAAGAAACCAGAAGTTGCCATATTCTGGAGTAAATGATTTATCTGAGCATTCATTTGTTTTTAGGTCCAGGTAGACCTATACCCAGGTATCTTTTAATCTTTGTGTTGTGTTTTGGGCTCACTGGAGATGCTTTATATCTCCACAATTTCTTATGCTTGGAGAGGAGGAAACTATCACCACCTTTACATTGTGCTGAGGGTTTTATTGTTTCTTTTTAATCAGGAGAGAAAACTGGAGGGGCTGTCACTAAAATCCTCTGCTTCAGGTCACAAGGCAAATTGGTCTTGAAGTTTCAAAGCAGGTCTCATTCAGGTGCTTGTGAAGAAGAGTGTGTTTCTAGGTTGAGTTAAATTTTGGTAGAAAGATTTCAGGTATGACGTATACCCGTATTTCATGATGTTAGCAGTTTGCTTGGCCCCCTCCTTTTACTGGAGGCATAATGGCCAGACTAGAGAACAGAGCCCAGAATGAAAGTTGCATATGGGTAGAGTGTATATACTTTGAATAATGCATTCAGAATAAACATTTTAGTTCATCTTCATACACAATGTAAGCAAACCCTGAGGTTAACTGGTACTCTGTAGACTGAGTCATATTCCAATGATTTGCATTCCTGAAAGTGATTGTTTTTTTTTCATAAATTATTACTAATTTCGATCACAGACAATTTAGGGATAGAGAAGAGAGAAATTTCATATTAACTGCAGAGTCCAATGGCTGTGTGAGGACATGATTTTCTTTAGAGCATGGAAGACCAAGGAAGAGAGGGACCAAAGGTACCCTTTGTTGACTGTCAAAGATGACTCTGGGGGGTGATCAGAAAGTTCCAGCCTGTAGTTTCTACAGTCCTAGAGTGATGTAATGTGATCCCTCTGTGTGTTGATGGGCAGGTAAGTTCTTATGTGAGAGTTAGGGCTCTAAATAACATAAGGCTGGTTCAGTGAAGGAAGTTGTAACTGCTGTCTCCACGGTCTTGGGATTTGAACTCATTTTTCAAAACTTCACTTTGCCTGGGAAGAAGAGGCCTGAATGCATCTGTAGATTCCCTATGGGAATGCCATCAAGTCATCATCGATCAAGGTACAAATAGGGGACATTCAGATACATCTGGATTATTTTATGTGGCAACTGGGTGCCAGGGAGACCCCCAGTTCTATTTCTCTGGAAACTTTCGGCCCTCTGAACTCTTTCCTCCAAAGCTCCTCATTACTTCAGCTGACCTTGGGTCATGCCTATCTCAGGGTCTCAACAGAGCTGAAAGTTCCTGATGGGGATCCTATTGCATTTCAGTTCTTTGTTGAGAATAGATGGGTGAGGAAGAGCATTTTTTAAACAATTTTACTTATTTATTATGTATACAACATTCTGCTTCCATGTATATCTGCACACCAGAAGAGGGCACCAGATCTTATAACGGATGGTTGTGAGCCACCATGTGGTTGCTGGGAACCGAACTCAGGCCCTCTGGAAGAGCAGTCAGTGCTTTTAACCTCTGAGCCATCTCTCCAGCCTGAGGAAGAGCATTTTAAGCTGGTGAAGTCATTCAAACCTGTCTTGTCTTGCTTGATTTTGTTGTTGTTGATTTGTTTTTTATGGTTTCCAGAGTTCACCTCAGAACCTCACACTTTGCACAAGAACTTCACAACCCCCTATGCTAAGCTTCTTAGTTGAGCATCTGTGCTCAGTTAACCAGTGGAAAAAGGTGAACAGAGAAACAGTAATATTTTTAAACTGCTTCATATTCATTTATATGGCTTTAACACAGAGAACATATTCTATTGTTTGTTTATTTATCTTTAAGTGCTAAAAACTGAAGCCCAGGGCCTTGCACATCCTAGAACAGTTGCTTCACTACTGAGCCACACCCCCAGACTGTCTTGTGAACCCCTACATCATTGCTATTTTATCTGAGGACATGATTTAGAATAGGATACTCTCCAGCTATGAACACAAGAATTTTTCCAAAACGTTGTCTTTGGTTTTGACTTACTGCATATGTACGTGGAAGCAGACATGTGTCAGGGTCATGGCAGGAGGACTCATGTATGTGTTTCCTTGAGAGTGAGCTGCAATGGATGATGGGAATTTCTTCTATTTCTCAC